GGTTAATAGTAATATGATATGTTATTGCCATCAGGAACTGTGCTTTGCAATATTTTTATATGACGATTAAATCACAGTTTTATTACATATAATGCTATGTTACTTTACAGCCAGTTACGTGTGTGTTGTGGTGTTCTAAACATGATTTACGTAATGAGGCAATTGTGGTGTGTGTTGACCATCAAGTTTTCAGCGAGATCTAAATTGCTCATTGAAAGCAGAAACCAAACGTAATCCAGTGAAAAAAGATCTCTCCTCTGACAATGTGTGTAGCCAGTGCTTTTTTTTCTGGGGGGACGCAGTGGTATGCACACCCCTAAACATTTTGTGAATCTAAGTTTGGCCTCATTGAGGGGCAGTATTTCAATTTGAGTAGAAAAAAGAGAGTACCTCTAAACATTTTTTAAAAAGAAAAAAAGCAGTGTGTGTAGCCCTGGGGAAATCAGCCTTGGCCATAATTCCACATTAGCATTCTGTCATGCAAGTGTGGTCTCTTCCTTTATCCATGCATCAGAATGTGGGGTTTTTCTGAGCACACACTGTGAAGAGGAAGAGGAAGCAAGCGGGGGGGGGGGGAGGGACTGCTGCAAGTGAGAGAGAACTGAGGCTGGGTGAGGTGAATCAGTGGCAGAAGTGAGGGAGAGAGGCAAGTCAAGGGGAGGAGGGATATGCAGCAGTGGTGACTGAGCCAACTTTCTTTTAACTACTCTGCAGCTCAGTCATGGGCGTAGCTGAGGGGAGGCGGGGGGCAGCTGCCCCCCCTAAATAAATCAAAATCAATACAAATCTGAGGTTCGGATCCCCCCTAACAAAAGCCTCCCCTCACCACAAAAATCCTGGCTACACCTTGATCTAGGTTATGCCTCAGTTTGATTAGGCTGTCTGTGTGTGAGCAACATGGGAGTCATTAAGCACTGAGGTTAAAGGGGACATAATCAAGGTCTCAAAGATTGAAGCAAGGATGCCTTGGGCCTCCATCAGATCCACAACTAGCATGACTTTCCAGTGGTGACCAAAGAGAGTTTTAATGCAACCCTTCTATTTCTCTGTTTTCCCAGGAAGTAAGCATTTAACCCACAGGCAAGAGACTATTGGCAACTGTTGACCCAAACAGAAAGCAAGCCAGGTTAAACAGACTTGCAGAGCCAGAAAGCATATTTGTGTAATGTAATGTCCTGTAACTCTTAAAGCTCACATTCATTTCTGAAATTCTCCTGCATAATTAATGATAGATGCACTACAGGAAATTCCAGTGCTTAAAGAACTGGCTCACTTTCTTTAAACTTGATGGAATTTCTCGAGACCAGTTTTTAGGGCACAATCCTTTAATCAGGATGTGCCGGCAGAGGACCTGCAGGCCATATGGCAGAAGCTCCCTGCTATGCTGGCAAAGTTGGCATTACTAATGCTGGCACAACAACTATCCTCGTGTATCTGTGTCACCAACACAACCGTGCTAGTGTAGCAACCAAAATGGGACACAGATGTGTACAGGACATGGAAGAAGCAGACTGATGCTAAATGCTATACTCTTCAGACCCCATCCATGTCCTTAACAACATTAAGATGTCTATAGAGCAGGCATAAGGAAAATTTCACCTATTGAGCTCAGTGGTGAGGGGGAAAACAGCAAAATGAAAACAAATCGACAGCCTCCCCATCTCTTACTTCTTTGCCCACAAAACAAAACAACTTATAAAATTTGGTATAGCTCTGTACCCAGAGTACACCAACCACTGGATATAAAGAGACACATGTCAGACGGTAAGTTGTGCTCCCTGGGGCTATAATCACTCTGGCCTCATGTCACACTTAAAACACACAAGGGGGTTCTTTGGTGAAGGAGAATTGTGGAGAAGGGGCCCTCTGCCTTCAGCACACACCTGCACCAGACATTTAAAGCACTGTTATACAATTTGTTATATCATAGTCTAAAGTATCCTTGGAACTGCAGTTTGTTTGGGGTGCTGAAAATTGTTGGGAGATCCTCTTCCCTTCACAGTACTATGTTTCCCAGAATGAATTAGCAATCAATCCCTCATGGTTTGTCTGGTGACATCAGGTGATTGATAGTGGGTGGAAATGGTTCCCCACCCCAGGTTTAGTATTACAATACAAGCTAAAGCAAGCCTTGGACTCCCTCCCTCCCTTCCCTCCCTCCTTCTCTGATGCAGCCAGAAGCCACTGGTAGAACATATCAGAGTGCCCAAATACACCAGTCATTGTGTTGCCTTCAGCAACCAAGTGACCACAACTTAGAAGCATAAACTAGAAGTAGGGCCATCACAATTTTTTAGATCAACTTAACAGACAGAAGCTTTCCATATCTCCCATCTCCATGCTATTAAAAAATTGTCCCTGTTGTCTTTACCCCTCTCATGCAGCTGTACATAAAAAGGAGCCCTGAAAAAATAAAGCCATGACTACCATCCCAAGAAAACATTGCAGGAAAGGCTAAAAGCATAAGCCAGGGACGTGGATGCAACTCCTTGTAGGTGACCTATGGGGGAGAGGGAGAAACATGGATGGAATGCATGACAGTGGTGGTCCAGACCAATGCAAAAGTGGGGGGGGCATCTCTCATAATGACCCCCCACCTGCACATCCACACACAGACATTCATGCACACAGAAGCAGCTGGCACAGTGGGGTGCTTCTGCGGTCACCCTCCCCACACCAGAATGACTGCTGCTAAGCTGGACAGCGAGTGGGTCTGCTGCATGGGTGTGCTGGCAAGAGTGCCCGGGTGGCTCCCCTGGGGTGCCACCCTGACCTTGCCACCACCCTGTCCCACCCCTGTAAGTAGCAGCAACACTGGTGCCAGGATGGCAACTCTGCTGCACTGCCCCAGTGATCCTGCATACACATTTTCTCACATATACAGAGTTGCACAACTCTGGATCCAAGCTATCCTGTTTTTCCTTGCCAAATTAGATGGTTAAATAGATTTTCCTGCCACCCTTTAGACAGGAAAAGCTCTCCACAAAATATTTTTGTGCAGCAGTGGCCAAACCAACTCAAGCTGCATCCTGATACTGAAAAATTCTGGGAAGTGTTTCACATAAAGCATTTCCAGTATGGTCTTCACTTGGAATGATCTCAGTAGGCTGGGGAAGCTTTCACTATCATTATGTCTGTGAGAAACATACCTACAGTAGGTCAATTGGTTCAGGTCACTGAACTAAAAGTAAAGGTATTTTATTCATGAACTCTGTGCATACTAAACATTTCTCAACTGTTCAGCTTCCCAGGGCATTTTGTATGGTACAGGAAGCTAAGCTTGAGGTGCTCTTGGACTACAATTCCCATCATCCCTGCTATTGGCTCTGCTGCCTGCGGCTGATGGTAGTTGGAGTTCATCAGTTTCTGGAGGGCTGCAGGTTCCCTGCTGTACAGTGATGGTGCTATTACAATAAGAGCAAATACTGGTAGTTTATGGACTTCTATTTTTATCACTATTGACTGCAGCTGAATCCTGAGAATTGACGTGGGATAGCGCTCCTGCCAACAGACCAGGTTCATAGCTTGGTGGCACTCCTTGCTTTCACATTTCAGTGGTGCCCTGTGTGACGCCAAAATTAGGCAACCCCTGCCTCTTGTCTTCTGTTCCAACTCATTGTTGTGCCACCCCCTGCGGTGCCCTCTGGGCCCAGTGCAGGAGAACCAGTTGTGCTCTCCTAAATCTGCCTCTACTTCTTGATTCAAGTGTCTTAGTGGCAAGAACTGCCTTTGCCTGCCTCCTGCTGGTTCAGCAGCTACAGTTGTTCCTGGACTCGGGCAGCTTCACCTCAGTTACTCAAGCACTAATAACCTCCTGTTTAGATTACTGCAACATATCGTATGTGGAGCTACCCTTGAAGACTGTCCAGAAGCTGCAGCTGCTGCAGAATACTGACGCTTGGCTGGTATCTGGAGTGGAGAGAGGAGATCATATTACAGTGGTACCTCAGGTTAAGTACTTAATTCGTTCCGGAGGTCCGTTCTTAACCTGAAACTGTTCTTAACCTGAAGCACCACTTTAGCTAATAGGGCCTCCTGCTGCCGCTGTGCCGCCGGAGCATGATTTCTGTTCTCATACTGAAGCAAAGTTCTTAACCTGAAGCACTATTTCTGGGTTAGCAGAGTCTGTAACCTGAAGCGTATGTAACCCGAGGTACCACTGTACTCTGATCATCACATCTCTGCAACGGTTGTCTGTGAACTACTGGACCCAATTCAAAGTATTGGTCCTGTTGTGCCCCTAATGACTTTGAGCCCAGGTAGCTGAAGGAGCACCTTCTCCCAGTATTGCCCCACCTTCAGCAGAGGCGGGGCAATACTGTTAGGATGAAAGGGGCAGCATGCCAACAACCTTAGCCAGCCTCTACCTGCCAGCCTTCTTACAACCAGTCGGTGGGCGGCTCTGCCTGTCCTTGGCTGTGCTTCCAACTGCCTGCACAATGGGCACCAACCACCACTGCCCAGTGCCCACCTAACTACTAAGATCAACCAGAGATGCCCTTCTTGTTGCCCCAACATTCGCTTTTGCTAGCCAGGTGGCACACAAGGCGCAGCACAGGGGGAAGGAGCCTCCAGATTGCGCCCTCTCTTCGGCCTGACATTGCTCTCTCCCTGCAATGGCCACTTTGAGGCACAAGGTAAAAGCCGCTCCATTTGCCCCGCAGGCATTTGCGATTTAATGCACAGCTGGCGGAATCTACTGTTGCTGTTTTATTTCGGGTGTTGTTGTTTAATGCGTCGTTCTAACGGTATTTCCGTGTTCGCTACGACCGTGTTGTCAGCCGCGGTAGAAGTAAGAGCAAATGCTGCCTCCTTGGAGGCGCTCAGTCGGTAAGTGCGCGCAGGATTGCCGCCCCGCTTTGGCGCAAGGCGGCCACGCGCGGGGTTCCGGGCGGCGGCAGGTAGCTGGGCGGGAGCGGCGGCGCGCCTGGCTCAGGGTTCCGCGGCCAGGAGCGCGCGCAAGGCAGCTCTCTGGGCTCCTGGGCGGGGAGGGGCTTCCAGGCCCGGCGAGGGGGAAGCTGGTGGCGGAGGGAGGCGCCTCCGAGCCAGAGGCGAGGTGCAGCGGGGAGCCGGGCGCGCCTCGCCCTCCTGGCTCTGGGCTGGCGTCTCCCGAGGATGCGCGCCACTCGCGGCCGGCTGACTTCGGGGAGGGCTTGCTCCCTTTGCCGCGCAACTCGTGCTCTCCTCGCGGGGAGGCTCGCGCTTCCGCCTCCGCGCAGAAAGGAAACGAATCGGACTTAAACGTGCGCCTTCTCCTCCCGCCGCTGCGCTCCTCCAGGCGCCGCCAGGGAATGAGCCCCGCGGAAGAAGGTGGGCGCGCAGCGGGTTGCGCTAGGCGGGCGAGGGAGGTGCGATCCTCAGCTCTTTTGCATCTGCTTGCTTGCTGCACCCCGAGCTTCACGTGTTCCGGGGGGGAGGGATCTGATTCAGGCATTCAATTCTAAAAAGCTCTTCCACACGTTCACGATTATCAGTGGAAAGGTTATGCAGGTAAGACAAGCTTCGCTTCTGTCTTTGGGCTTGAAGCGGGCGGAGGGGAAGCCGCTTTCAGGGAGGAATTCCTGCTAAAAAGAAAAGGGAACTGGGTGCAAATGGTGTGCTCGGAAATGGCTGGGAGGCTTTGATAAGCGTGAACTCCCTGCCAGTATCTCTTCGAACTAGAGTCGTTATCAGCCGGCAAAGGAACACGGGGGGAGGCAAGTGGCTCCTTTGAAAGAGAAAAGTTTCAAAAATGGATTTCTGGTTTAACAGCAGGATGTCTTCCCCCCTCCCAAATATTGTAATTGTTTTGCTTGAGTTCATATATATGGGTTGTTTGATGTTCCTGCCGGCATAATTTCAGTTCAGGCCCTACATTGCTGAATGATTTCTGGCGAGGTATCAACAAGGCAGTCAGCTTTAGCAACTCACAGTGCAACCCTAGCCAATTAAGTCCTGTTGAATTCAGTGGGACCTGCACTCAGGTATGGAGGAAATTCCTTCCAGTAGCACCTTAAAGACCAACTAAGTTAGTTCTTGGTATGAGCTTTCGTGTGCATGCACACTTCTTCAGATACCAAGAACTAACTTAGTTGGTCTTTAAGGTGCTACTGGAAGGATTTTTGTTTTGTTTTGACTATGGCAGACCAACACGGCTACCTATCTGTATCAGGTATGGAGGGTTAGGATTGCTGCCTAACAGGTTTATTATAATTACAGATAGGTAGCCGTGTTGGTCTGCCATAGTCAAAACAAAAATTTTTTTTCTTTCCAGTAGCACCTTAAAGACCAACTAAGTTAGTTCTTGGTATGAGCTTTCGTGTGCATGCACACTTCTTCAGATACACACTTCTTCTTCAGGTATCTGAAGAAGTGTGCATGCACACGAAAGCTCATACCAAGAACTAACTTAGGTTTATTATAACATCAACTTTCATGGACTAGAGGCCACTTTGTGAGATGCATGATGTATGTATTATCTGAAGTCAGCAAGAATATATATGCACATGGCTGTAGGTCTAACATCCTCATATTGTGAGGTCTGATGAAATCAGAGTGTAAAAAAGGAAAACTGACAATTAACATTAAAATTTAAATATATGTAAAATAAGACCAGTGAGCATTCACACAGCAGTACTGATACCTTTACCTTGGTCAGCTAATTAACATGTTAATGAGAACTATTCACACCACAGGTGATACCATAATTTTGTCCTTCAGTGCTGGAAAATCTCTCTTTTGAGGTTATTTGCAGGAAAAACAGCCTCTTAAAACCAGTGTCCTGGGAGGTTGAAATGTTTCCCCTCAGGCCTCTGAATATGGTTCTAAGCCATGGGTAGGCAAACTAAGGCCTGGGGGCCGGATCTGGCCCAATCACCTTCTAAATCCCAATCACCTTCTAAATCCGGCCCACAGTCGGTCCAGGAATCAGTGTGTTTTTACATGAGTAGAATGTGTGCTTTTATTTAAAATGCATCTCTGGGTTATTTGTGGGGCATAGGAATTCATTCCCCCCCCACAAAAAATATAGTCCGGCCCCCCACAAGGTCTGAGGGACAGTGGACCGGCCCCCTGCTGAAAACGTTTGCTGACCCCTGATCTTAGCCTATGCCAGGTTTGGATTTGTTTTGTTCTTTGCCTGGCATCTGCTTTCTTTGCCCTGTGTAGAATGCTGTAGGGCAGGGGTGGGCAATCTTGGGCCCAGGGACCAAATATACTCCATTCACCAAGCCTCTCTGTCCAGCCCTCTGGACTTCCTCCAGCCCCTGCCTCCTCAGACCTCACGCTTCACTGGCCCTGCTGCTGTGTGACCTTTTCAGGGACTCTTTCTGAGCTGGAATGTCACCTTGAACTGTGATGTTATCTGGATGAAACCTGGAGAGAGAATGTGGGGTTTTTTTGGGGTGTGTACGCACATGTAGAAACTTTCCACCTGCACATGCCTGGAATATAGCCTCCTGTACAAAACTTAGAGTTGCATCACTTGCTCCGCACACTTCTTTTTGTCTGGGACTCCCCACTGGCATGTAGAATAAAATGGGGAGGGGGGCTAAATTTAGAGCAGTGTAATCGGCATTGGTCAGATAGCCATGATGTTTTTGTTTTAAATTAGCCAGAAGGATTTGGGACTGTGGATACACTAACCCATTATTTAGAACAATCTCCGCTCAATATGTAACTGGTAAAACAAAGGCAGGTACAATTGCACACCATAAACAATGCCCTTGCCCTTATTACTGATGATCTGGCAGCTTTCATCAGGCTGGTTACTTAATTTAAATGCAAATATGATTGAAAGTAATTTAAGTTGCATGAGTGTAGTTAAAAGCTATCCAGCAGGTCCTGAAGCATGTTGAATATGTGTTCGTTCTTTTTTAAAACATACCTTCACACAGGTGTTTCAGGAGGAGTTGTTACAAGAAAGCAGCTGCAGCTGCTGAATGATTCTGTTTGATCTGTAATGCAACACTCTTGGACAAAGAGGTTGCCACATTTCCAGCCTATTAAAAATACTGTGCAAACTTTCAGAGTACAAAAGTGGTGGAAGTTCTCTGTTTAAGTTTTCTTGAGACTTTCTTGAGGACTGACTACTTCACTACCTTGTGGGAAAGTTGGGTGCTAACTTGAAATGTGCATGTGTATAAGCAAACATGCTTTAAAAATTATTTATTTACTTGTACTGTTTCCTTACTTCCCATCAACTGAAGCCCCCAGTCTTAAATAGCATCCCTGGTACTCAAGGACAGCAGATACCTAGCTATTCCCCATTGACTATCTGTGGCTGTTTATGATGAGCAGTCATGAGCAGGCAATTCAGGATTGATCTGGCCTCAGGCCTCCTTTTCTAGGGTGTTCTGAAAAGGGTATCTGTTTAAAAGAAAGAGGAGGGGTTGGTGGCTTTTAAACAGGGGTGTGAGTGGCCCATTTGGAATCTGTGCTGTTCCAAACAGGTCTTCTAAATAAGGCTGGAGGTAACAGATTTCAGGCTCGCCAAGAACATAGAAGCTGTTGTGCCGAGGCACAAAGGCCTTTTCTGTTTTGGGTAGCTCTTGGCTGGTTTATCCTTTCTGCTAAAATTCTCTTATTCTCTTCTCTTCCTTTTTAATTTGTAAGAAGTAATTATCCTGCCATCGCGGGATGGTCAGGGTAAGCTTGGGTTTCTTTTCAGGAACTTTAATAAGGTGGTGTCAGTGGAAGCCTTGATTGTCATCTCATTCCTGCTACACAGCCACCATCTGTTTCAGTGGAGCTCCTGTCAGGGTGTTAAGCCAGCCCCATAGGCAAGAAGAGAGACTGAACACCAATAGGGCTTAATGGAAGTCCCCCACAGGGAAGAATTCTATGAATACAAATATTGTGCAAAATCACAAAGGGATGATCAGTAACAGTGCTGCATAGTTTATGATTGCTGTCTGGTCCCACCCAGTTTTTCACAATGAACAAATACCCTTCTGAAACACTACCTTTTAAAGGAGGTTATATTGTCGTGCTGTTTTATTATATGACTGTTCTCCGCTGCATTCATAAACTTCAAGTCTGTATAATCTTATTTGTCTCAAGCAAGAGCAATGTTTGCAAGAGTTCCCTGGAGCTTCCCCCCATTGTAAGAACTTTTCTTTGGCACTTCCAGTCACATTCTTTTTAGAACAATGGTGTGGCATCTTGCAGAAGCTGTCCTTCTTTACATGATCCTGACTGGCCCAGGCCAAACGTGAATGAGCAATTAGTAGCCATCATTCTTTGGAAATTATCTCTTTTAGTTTGCGGAATCATGAATACTAATAATAACCAGGACATCTTTTATGACCAGGATTAGTTGTGGAAAGTTCGTAAGTGAATGCTCACCAGCTTGAAGGAACAGTGCGTAATCTTCCCTTCTGAATTCATTTTGGAATTCAAAGAGGCAAAAAAAAAATCCCACAGAACTCCTTGCCATAATATTAATTATGACAAAATGTTATCTGTGTAGATTTCTATTGCTGTGGCGATATCCCAGGCACCATCATGCCCTTGATCTGTCCCTGTGTGCAAAGGTGGATCTTGGGGTCTCAAATTTCAGCGGTGCCCTGTACAGCACCAAAATTCAGCGCCCCTCCACCTGTCACACTCCATTCTAAATCATGATTGCGGCATCCCTGGTGGTGGCACCAAGGCTCTGCATCCAGTATGACTGAACCAGTTGCACTCCCCTAACTCTGCCTCTCCTGCCTGGATGCCATCAGTGATGTCTTTTCACCATTTTGTGGGTGCTCTACCTCCCAGCTGAGAAGGACCCCTATAATTTCCCTCACCCTTATGGATTCTATATACAAATATTGTTAAGTATACTAACAGAAGATGGCACAGGAAATGATCCCATAATGCTGTGAGTAACCACTTAAATCACACTTACAGTGCATGCTATGCTGTGTAAGGTCATAATTGTTAAGTCGTGGGTTGACATAGCAGCCGGCACAGCGATTTCTTCAAGTAGCTCTTTATTCTGGTAAGCTGGAATAGAACTGACTGCGAACAGCTCAGCCGGCCTGTATTTATAGGCAGCCGGCTGTCAACATTGTAACCACAACAGCCCAGAGTTCCCGCCTAAAATAACTGGCGCGGACCTGAGTGAAAACTATCTACAGACCTGAGTGAAAACTATATACAGTATCCCCCTGTTGGCCCAGGGTGAAACTACACTACATAACACCCCTCCCCACCGAGATAAGGCGTTAGTTACAATCGTAATGGTTTCCTTATATACAGCACTACGCGTAATGGTTCAATTAGGCTTGGAAACTCTGCCAGACCGCCAGGGACTGGTAGCCAAGTCCGGAGGGCCACACAGTTCTCGCTGAGGCTGTGGTGCGACCCTAGGTGGCGTTGGAACCAACTCCCCTAGATCCGCTGCTGAGAGTGGAGCCTCCGCAAGTGGAGTGGTCTGAGTCTGTTCTGAAACGGCTTGGTTCGGCTCCACGCTGGCAGTTTGCGAGGGAGGTGTAGGTGGGGCCTCGCCATCTGTACGTGTCTCT